TAGGTCCTTAAAAGTTTACAACCGACTGATTTAGTACAGTCCATATTAGAGCCTCGCGAGCTCAAAATGCAAATCGTCGTACATTGCTATCTATCTTTTTATTACAGCAGTAAATTCGAACAAAATTAGTTGCGGGCCAGCCTTCTATGTTCCCACGCAATGCACTCGCTAGCATTTATGGTCTCAGAATAATAGAATGATCTCGAAGCATGCTGTTTATGACGGTTGAAATTGATGAGATTTGTAAATCAATCATGGGATTTAAGTTATGAATTCTATTTTTAATGTTGTTAAGTTATGGGGAAATTCTTTGATTCTTAAAGTGGTTTTGGCTGTGAAATGGTTTGTTTATTTTATATGGAACAAGTAAAAATAGAAATAGCGAAACAGATATGGACGCGAATGTTTGTTAAGATTTAATTAGGTTATAATTAAAAAGTCTTCAAGAATCGCTTTGCTTTGAACTGACCGACTGTGACTACTTACAAAAATACTAGTTACTTGATAACATATAGCAATTAGTAAATAAATATGTCAGGATATTAACACACAACACCATCTAGTTCCACGGTGAGCTACGAGGCTTGTGTTATGGATACCAGATAGTTGATACACTACGCATATATAACTTTAAATACATACATATTATAGATATAAACACCCATGAATGTAGTACAAACATTCGTGCTCATCACACAAATGGATGCCCCCAGCGGGACTCGAACCCGCGACCGCTGGCACAGCGAGTAGGGTCGCTACCAACTGAGCCAAACATGTCGTCAATTAGTAAGCCTCTACTTATAAATTTATCCATTCTGGCTGATAAGTACGCATGCTTCCATATCATAACTATCACGAACATATTAAAAGTTACAAAAATGACAGTAAAACTATTTAAAACTAGCAACTGACTCTCGCTTCGCTCGGGCTCGTCCCTAGGTTGATTCCCCATACATAATTTCATCCTCATTTTCAACCTCTTCAGGGATGATTTCCGGGATAAAAAGTATCCTATGTCCTTCCCAGAGTCTCAAACTATCTTCTTACCAAATTTCATGTAAATCGGTTCAGTAGATCCAGAGATTACCCATTACAACGTCACAAACTCAAACTCACAATTCACAAACTTTACCTCTTTATTATATTAGTATAGATTAGTAAACAATGATGTTAAAAGCTTTTAGCTTATTGTGGTATTAGTCTGTTCACTGTCTTTATGCCTAATTTGAATGCGATCGATTCAAATCGGATATCTTGTTGTTTATAACAAAGTCGGGTTAGGAGATACATCATTTATAACTCAAGAACGGCTGGACAGATTTTTATGATCTTTGATCGAATAGCAGAATAACTTTTACAACATCGGAAAAATTCATTCAAACTAAACTACATTTACATGGCTATTGCTGGTTAATAACTATTTATATCCATTTAAAATGTACCTATATCCTGGGACGCTCCCGAGCAAAGCGAGTTTAGTCGCTAGTAGTAATATATAGTCCAAGATTAACTGCCTCGGTGGTGTAGTGGCTAGCATGTACGGCTGCACACCCGGAGGTCCTGGGTTCGAGTCCCGGGTTGGGCCAAGTTTAGTTATTGAGTCTTTCTGTATAGTAAGCCTCAGTAACAGCCCGGAGTTGGGATGTTGGCGGTGTTTCACCCCCGTGCCTCGGAGAGCACGTAAAGCCGTCGGTCCTGCGCCTTAACTCTCACCGATCGTGTCGAGTGGTCGTCCCACCGGAGTATGAGAGTGATAGGAATAGAGAGTGCACTTGTGTCTGCGCGTACACTTGAGCACTATAATATCTCCTGCGCAGTTGGCTAATCTCAATAAGATTGGCCGCCGTGGCCGGAATCGGCTAGGAGTACATCATCATCATCATCATAGTCCAAGATAAACTCGTGTATGATTTACAACTGACTCAAAAGACAATGTTGAGATGTCCAAAACCTTAGTCTCTCCCGTGACCATGATTGTTGTAAAGCATTCGAAACGTCAGGAACCAAAAATCAAAATAAATCCGCAAAAATAATTTTATCTAACATGACCCAAAAGGTATACTTCTGTAATAATTGTAAAACACGCTATACGCTATTACAAAGAGAGAAATTAAAAAGATCGAAGAATAATAATTTGTTTGTATGTAGGGAATATCTAAGGATTCCTATAATATTGAGCTAGATTATGTTAGATCTATACAGACTACTGTATCGCATATCAGTGCGGAGAAGTAACAACAAACATACAAATTTTCGCACTTAATTTTCAGTTCAGTAAAATAAATATTCCAGTATCAATAAAATTTAATCAGCTTGACTCACTTACTTTTTTTAACACATGACCAAGCGTCCGTTATTTAATACTCGTATGTCTGATTTATTGACATATTTTATTAATTCGTTTAAACAATATAGAGCAAACACAACAAAATAAGTTTATAATTAATTGCATTAAGCTGCACGATGCACCGGCTGCAACACATGTGTAAACACGCGACCGGCCCTCCGCCCTCCGCCCTCAGCTTTCCGCCCTTCGTAATCTGCCCTTCATTAATTCTATCGAATACCAAATGAGGTATGACATCATAGGGGAAATAAAAGTATCGCATATCATTACGACTCTACCAACTCTATCACCACGATGTAGAGCTTAGTATGGACTGACTCTACATTGTGAGGGTAAACATTTGTGGATTGCCTTTTGAGCTCAATTTGCAGCTAAGAGGTATTTAGCACAAAGGATTATGGATAACGCTTTGTTGGTTCCAATGTGTAGTTACAGCATTTAGTTAATTGTTACAAATTATACCTTTTATATTCAAGGTTTTGTTGATTTTGAACTTATTTATATAGGTTTGGATATAGAATAAATTTTTGGCACATCTGGTGCATCAGCAGAATATCTAGTTGACAGTGTTACCAACACGGTCTAAGTCTAACACGGTATAGCTACGTAATGTTCTATTAAGACACAATATGAAATAATTATACTGAGTTGCTACCAATTTTTTTTTTCTACATTACTATGTTAGTTCAGCGAGTTATTTCTGTATGTGTATATAAAAACTGAACCTAATACAAACTAAAAAATATAACAACTTATAAAAATTTGGACCAATTTTCTATTAAAGTTTACAATATAAAAAATCTAATCTATCTAATCTTATAATAAATATGTACCTTAAAATTTTAAATTTTAGAAAAGCAGTTAATAATATATTGAAGATATTATTAATTCATCACCTGGAGTCACGTAATACGGTAGCTTCATAGTAATTGATATGCATACATTAATAAATTAAATACGCGACGAATTGAGAATGCCTTAGAGTTTAGTCAGCTTTTGAATAAACTTTTTCTTATATTATACTCACACCTGCTCTATAAGCATTTAACTACTGTAGAGTTCATTTTGAAAGTATAACCAATGAGTTTTAATACAATAATTATGAATTAATATTCATTTTCATAATTTGTCTCTACCTTTGGGTATATATAGAGAATGAAAAATCTACTAATCAAGTACTTACAAAATTTTTTTATTATATACATACTTTTATATCATTCTTCTATGTAGATATATACATAGTAAAAGTCAATAATAACAATCTGATGTAACAGATATCCCAGTTGAACCGCGTGCATCGATACATTAATATAGTTACTCTCGGTTCACTGCTTGCGCTACATTGTCGCATTTGGCGATAAATATTGTATTCAAATATATTACTTTAATGCCATTTATGTTATTGTTAATCCAACCAGCATATTAGGACACCGATTTACAAATTTTAAGTTTTCAGATTTAATTTCTAATAGTTAATATTTGATATTTATCATTCTTGTCTAGGTATAAAACAAATTGAGCAGTTCTCAACACACAATTTCCTAAAAAGGCTCTATTCGCCAAAGCATTATTATCTTTTTGAGTAAAAGTCATATTTGACAATATAAAACTTGGAAAAATTATATGGTTGAATAAAAGTCAAGAGTGGAGCAACAAAGTACTGTCACTAATGTAGTATTGTAGAGACCCCTAAATGGAGCGTTTCACTTAGTGTAACGCGATTCGCCCCTTGGAATTAAAAGCTAAATACGCGCGATGACGCGACTCTCGCGGGGAACCCTCTCGTATTATTTATTGTACTTTTACGCTTGCAAGTAAGTAATGATTTTTGTGATTAAATTGATAGTTCATATTTGTATGATATGTTATTGAAACTTTTAATTTATCTTTGCTATTTTATTATAATTATCTCTTTACGTCAAAAACGATGATTTTTTAAGTTAATGGCACTTTTAAATAAACATTAAATTTAAAAAGAATATATAAAAATGTTTAAAGTTAAAAAATATTGTAAGGTACTTTGGTGCCATTTTTCAATTTTTTTTGTATTCATTTTGCTATTTGTGAGTAGGCTGTCTGTAACAACTATATAATACCTAAGAGACATCTAACACCTCAGTCTCTCCCGTGACCATGGATGCTGTAAAGCATTCGAAACGTCGGGAAACAAAAATCAAAATAAATTCGTGATAAAAACCTACAAAATAGTTTTCTTTAAAATGTCAAATATTCGCGTAAATCTAAGAAAGTATTAAGTTAATATGCTTATTTACAGAAAAAATTCTGACAGTCATAATCTTGATACAACATTTTTAAATGATATCTAGAAATCAGTAGAATACACTGGTTGGGATCTGATGTAGATATAAAATATATTGAGTGCTTTTAGTATGTGTTATAATTGATATTAACTGTGAATCAGTAAAAAATATAAAATATATACTATTTTATATTTTTAATTAATAAAATAAACCTATTTTACTTTGAAATTGAAACGTATATTTCAATTATTATCTATATGAGATATTTTCGTAGCATCATAAAATCACAACACCAAATATCCAAAAATATTTTATATTCTGATAAAACGAAAATAGAATTTAAACGATGAACAAAACAACACGGCCGGCGACGTTTCAATAAGCATCCCTTATTGTATCAAACGTGCGTGACCGCAGCGCGGGTCGACTCTACCCTTGCTACACCACTCCATTATGAACGAGAGGAAATCCTGGACACGACCAATGCTCTTTTGACTAGAGACTGAGTTTAAATTTTAAAACCAAACCAGCAATGTATTGTCCATTTCAAAGTATTTTCGACTCTCAATTGTGTTTACCGTTCATAATAATCCCTAATATAGAGCTAATGTCCTCGGCGTTTAGCGATCCGAGGGGTCGGCTAATTAGTTTAAAATCAAATGATATTTTTTCGCCCCTTTTTATTGTTCAATTTAAATATATTACGTATAATTTTGTTTTTGTTTATTTTCTACAATAACTTTATGAAGCTTTTTTTTTTAATTAAGTCAGAAATATGTATCTTGAAACAGTTATGACCTTTTTAGGCGAAAGGTCAAAAGGACATATATGCTACACATTTTAAGATAATATATACTAAAAACCTTATATAGTTTAATCTCTACTTCACAAGTAAATAAACAAAGTCAAATTTGATATGAAAAGTTTCGTTGACACGACAAACTCGCACAACACGATATTTGTGTAAATCAAGAGCGAATATTCTTAAAAGTTCTGGTCGATAAGAAACAAACTGCACAGCGATACGTCCACATGTTATACTTAATCCCCCGTTACAGAGAATCGTTTGATAGCGCCGACTAAGTGATTGACTTTTCAATCTCTATAATCCGATTATGGACACGGCCGACTCTACCGATTTCATATCAAACGATTTTCACCCCTATTTAAATTACATTTGATACATAATAGCCTGTACATATATCCCATATGGCGTGTCAGATATTTAGTGAGCCGTGGGGTGAAGGCCGTATAGGTGTTACCCCATTAGAGTGGCCGTTAGTTAATCTTCAAACTTTATCGCATACAGTGTTTGACTATTGTTTAAATTAATTGTTTCCAACAATGAAGGGATTACATATTAATATAATTGGTTTGTATCTATTAGATTTGTTTGTTATGAAAATGTTTAATCTAGAAGACGTTAGATAGCTTGCAACACTTTAAAGGCTTATTTAATAAGTTTTCTATGTTTTTTTAAAGTAAAACAACATTTCTTATATAAGTATGTAAAAATGATGCAAATTATATAAGCTATTCTTTTCTCTTATCCACAACCATTATACCATAAAAAAAATCTTTCAAAACCAATATGTGACGATATTTCGAACCATTTCGTGCACGTTGGTTGTGCGATAGCTTGTGTTGATAGCGTGTAGCTTCCAATTGTACTTCGTAGGAAAAATCTTACGTAACTTTAATTATGAAATAAAAGCTTTTTATTTAAGCTTACCTTAACTTGTGATTCAGTCATGCCCAAAGCGTACGCGAGCTTAGCTCTCTCTGGACCAGCGAGGTACTTGGTCTGCTCGAAGGTCTTTTCTAGCGCAAATATCTGCTGTCCGCTGAAGGTTGGTCTCGTGTGTTTCTTCTTACCGTCTTTGTCCATACCACCAGCTTGTGCGGCACATGCACTGAGAGCGCCATTGCTCACTGGAACAAAATAATTTATATCAAACAACTACCACTACCATAAATGTAAAAGTTTATTAGTTTGTGTATATGTGTGTTTGTCACTCTTTAACGCTGAAACGAGTGGAGGGATTTGGATGAAATTTTGGTATAGAAATATCTATTTTATTTAGGATCCTGGTATGTATGTACGGCTGCACACCCGGAGGTCCTGGGTTCGAGTCCCGGGTCGGGGTAAGTTTAGTTTTTGAGTCTTTCTGTAAAGTAAGCCTCAGTAACAGCCCGGAGTTGGGAAGTTGGCGATGTTTCACCCCCGTGCCCCGGAGAGCACGTAAAGCCGTCGGTCCTGCGCCTTAACTCTCACTGGTCGTGTCGAGCAGTCGTCCCACCGGAGTATGAGAGTAACAGGAATAGAGAGTGCACTTGTGTCTGCGCGTACACTTGTGCACTATAATATCTCCTGCGCAGTTGGCTAGTCTCAATGAGATTGGCCGCCGTGGCCGGAATCGGTCGGGAGAACATCATCATCATCATGTATATACATGTAAGCCACTAACTGTTTAGTTATAAAATTTTCTAAAACATTACGTAAGAGAAGGCGAACGAATATGTGATCACTAAGATTTTCCCCATATTTTTTTTGTATTAGAAACAAAATTTTCATACATTCCTGTCACTTGACAGGGGATTGTAACATAGATTCGAAAAAAAAATAGCTTGAACTAAGTTAATTAATCGAAATAATAATTTTAGTTTAACATTAATTACCTAAAAGCAATCATAGTAATCCTAAAAAATCGATTTATTTACTATCAAATACTCGTTTTATTTAAACCTAATAATCATCGATTAAATTACACGTCAACGAATGACCGTTAATTTATTGTAGCATAATTGCACGTATTTGCTCTCGATCACGCCACTGCGCTAATTACCGGCGTGACGGGATGGTTTCACGTTATTTATAACGTACTCCATATCACATTGACGTATAGGCGGGGAGACAGCTGTTGAAATGGCACTGTACATGTTTGTTCATTCTTTAGGTTATGTTTATTTTGTTTAATAACTTTATTAAGTCGATATTATTGGAAAGTAGCGTTTAAGCTAACCTGTACCTTACAACATTTTTACTGTTTGTGTATAACTTGGTCAAGAATAAAATACAATAAATATGTGTAGGATTTAAATTAGCGTGAAATGGAGCGTGTAGCAAAAACAATGGTAACTGGTTGGGTTTTTTAAATGGTAATGGCGTCTAGAGAGTATGGCGGATACGTTCGTTGTAATCGGTGCAGTGTAAAAAATTTAAATTAAATTCCTTATAAGTAAATTGATGATGATGTTCTCCTAGTCGATTCCGGCCACGGCGGCCAATCTCATTGAGACTAGCCAACTGCGCAGGAGATATTATAGTGCTCAAGTGTACGCGCAGACACAACGTGCACTCTCTATTCCTGTCACTCTCATACTCCGGTGGGACGACTGCTCGACACGACCAGTGAGAGTTAAGGCGCAGGACCGACAGCTTTACGTGCTCTCCGAGGCACGGGGGTGAAACACCGCCAACTTCCCAACTCCGGGCTGTTACTGAGACTTACTATACAGAAAGACTCAATAACTAAACTTGGCCCGACTCGGGACTCGAACCCAGGGCTTCCGAGTGTGCAGCCGTACATGCTAGCCACTACACCACCGAGGCAGTTCAATATATATAAATATAAGCCTATTATTTCCAGACCACATATGTATATATGCAAGAATATTTTCATATCAATATCAATAACTAACTGAATATTATGAGAAATAGATCTAGATTCTGAATTCATTTCGCATATTTCGATCCAATTGATATTAAAACTATCTATAAAATACCACTTGACGAGTTTTTCAAACAAACGTGAATTTTCCCAGCCGTCTCTCAAACTACATTTACAAACCTACAGCAACATGATCATGTAAGCCTTGTAATGTATTACCATGAGCAAATAATCGGTAATTGTAGAGCCAGCACATTTATTTCGCATTCCAATTTCCGGTTTATTACGAATTTGACCGGTTCACATTGTTTTCCAAAATAACCATATCCCATCAACACAACAACCAAGCTACCATAATTTCTTCTGATAATTTCTTCTGTTTTTTACACTATAAAGTAAATTCTACTTTTCTTAAAAGCCATGATTACAAATGGATCACGGATCCTACATCACGAATCGATGAAACTGTTTCCATAGAGTTTTATGGGTAGGAGAGTTGCACGTTGTTCCGTGATACCTAAGCGATACTTTCTTATAATAATTTTTAAGATTTTGTCAAATATTTGATATTTTAAATCGAACTATCCGGATTTCGGAAGTTGTTGTAGTTTTATTTCTCGTTCCAACTTTTCGAATGCTTTGCAGCAAACATGGTTGGGAGAAATAAGGTTATTGACCTCTCAAAAGCCACACTTATTACAATGCTTTATTAATTTTAATTTAATATTAATTCTTTGCTTCGTGTTTAATGTAATACTGCAGAAGGTTACCAAGGGTCACTGATGAAATATTTCAAACCTGAAGATATATAGAATACTAGCGACATTAGTATAGATTTATTAGAGATATTTTGCCACAGTAAAAAGTATCCTATATGTTGACCTGGATAACCAGCTATCATCATACTAAATTTCATCAAAATCTGTCCAGTGGTGTTCTCGTGATGCGTTCCCAGACAGACAGTAAAACAAAAATTCTAAAAACTATAGATTCGGTCTTTGTATCGATAATAATTATTTCAATCAGATTTTCCAAAATATATTTAATGTACAGATTCGACTCACAATTTCATCATATGTATAGATATTATGAAAAAAATTTCATACAATTAATATACAAAAACAACACATTTCCTATACATTATCATATTATTTCATGAACAATTATAATAAATGACGAAAACAAAGGCATTTGTATGCATAGTTATTCGATCCCTCAACGGTGTCGACGTTTTTATCCATTATTTCCATTTCATTTTCCTCCGACCGCACCCTCCGGCCCGGGGGAGTTCGGGCCGCTTCATCAAAACATTTGTACACGATGAAAAATATAACAATCCTATGGTGATACGCTTTTTGTTTGCCCTCCAGGCTCCGGCTTTATTGTCCTTTTATACGTTCCGATGACTGTTTGTCGCAATATTAGAATCAAAAGATAAAATGCTGCTGGAATATTAATTAACTTTTATATATCTTTATTATTATTATCATTAAATATAGATATGTGTTTGGAATGAAATATTCAGACCTGGACGTTTTTATAGCTACGTAACTAACAGTAACAAAAACGATTTGAACAACTAATAATTTTAGACAAGTAAGTGCAATAAAGAAATTATTGTTGTTTTTAGAGGAAGAACATTTATTGCTATTGCATTAAATATTTAGTAATATTATTTTTTCGTATTGGCATATATAGATAAGTACATATGACCCATGCCAACGAGAGTCAATATATCGATTTACATACGTATATATGTATATGCAGATACTATTCTTAATTACTAACAAATTTGAACATTACACACATTTTTTACCGACTTCCAAAAAGGAGGAGGTCTTAAATTTCATTTTTTTTTAATGTATGTTCACCAATTACTCGAAGACGCTAGAACCGATTTGGATTATTTTTTTGTTTCAAAGGGTATACTTCCAGGTAGTCCCATGTAAATTTTATCGAAATCGGTCGAGCGTTTTTAAAAAAAATCAACAATTAATATTTTTTAAATAAATTGTTTAATCGAATATGTTATTAAAAAACTTTTTTCTTACAAATTACCTGCTTATACGTCTTCACTAAAAATGGAAAAATAAAAACTTTTTAACAAAAAATAAAAACCGACTTCCAGGCACTAAAATGTAAAAAATAACTACTAAGTTACTATAAAGATTAAAAAAAAAGTTCCTGGACTCTTGAATAACCTATTTATAAAAAAAATCATAAAAGTCAAATGACAATTTGAGACTCCTTTTTTTTTAAATCGGTCAAACATACAATTGCTAACATTTTTCCGCGCATAAATCTGTTACTTTTCCGACCTCTTCACCGACCTCATAAAGATAAATATTAATTTCATTCAAGACAGGGTTAATCGGATGCTGCATTAATATTAATGTAACTTTGCGCAGAGGTAGTTTGTTTATGCGGAATATACTACAAATGTACGGACAGACGGTCTGTATTGCCGTCTTATGAGTTATGGACGACGATTTATACGCTTTATGTGATAACTGAATTGCTTTGCACTACTCGTTCCATTTTGTGACTTTACTTTTATTTTGAAAGTACGATATATAAGCTAATTAAGTAAAATTTTAACAATAACATTATCTATACTATATTGTACAATACACTATAATATTATAATATTAATATTATCTTTATAAAGAGGCAAAGTTTGTGAGTTTGTGACGTTGTAGGGGTTAATCACTGGATCTACTGAACCGATTTAGATGAAATTTGGTAAGAAGATAGTTTGAGACCTTGGGAAGGATATAGGATACTCTTTATTCTAAAAATCATCCCTTAAGAGGGTGAAAATGGGGATGAAAGTTTGTATGGGAAATCAAGCTAGTTATAAGTTTTACATGGTTTTTATGAAATGTTTGATTGAAGGTAATTCAATAGAATCTATTTGGGTCTTTTTATTTTTTAAAGTCCTTCAGAAACCAAATCTAGTATCTAATCAAAGAACAAACTAAGTCTCATTTAGCTCACTTAGAGATCTAAATGTATAGGTACAAGTGGTATAATATTATATGATCTGCGTTATAGGTTAAACACTACAGTCTACACACTCATATTCTAAAATATACATTTTGTCTATATACATATATGTATATAGATAGAATTACATAGAATATTTGATAGACTAAATAGTTGAAGTCGCAATAGAATAAATTAATATTTGTAGCAAATAGGTATAGGTATCCCATGTAAAGACCACAATAACAACAAAAACCATTTTCCGCTATCGAGTGA